GCGGAGCCCGGGCCGGAGGCTCCGTCGCGGCGGGCAGGATGAGCTGAGGGCAGCCCGAGCCGCCGCCGCAGCCCGGCACAGATGGCCAGGTGGCTAAAGGACTACCTGAGTTTCGGGAGCAGGAGGCCCCCCCCGCAGCCCCCCAAGCCCGACTACAGCGAGAGCGACATCCTCAAGGCCTATCGCGCCCAGAAGAGCCTGGATTTCGAGGACCCTTATGAGGACAGCGGCAACGCGGAGCCCAGCCCCGGGGGGTCTCCCAGCAAGGGGGCCGGCGCCGAGGGGGGCAAGTTCCCCTCTCCCAAGCACAGGCTCATCAAAGTGGAGTCCGCCGACCTGAGCAGGAGCAGGGCTCTGCTGGCCACGGCGGACGAGGAGCCCGCGGGCAAGGTGGAGCAGGTAGGGGCTGGCACCAGGTGGGGGGCGTCCTGCAGCGCTTTCCTCCGGGGACTTGAGGCCGGGCGTGAGCGCGGCAGGTCTTGTGGGCTGAGCAGCCGGGGCTGGGCTGGAGACTGGTATAGACACAGCTGCCTCTCCTCCGTGGCCCAGGTCCTCATCTGAGCTACGAGGGGCGCGCTCCCCGGGGTCCCTGCCAGACGCTGTCCTGCTTCCCAGCAGCCACCGTGAGGTTTCAGCAGGGCAGACTGAAGTTCACTCCTGTCCCCAGCGAACACAAGCGCAGCCGGTCACTGCGGCAGACCGTCAGCCAGTCCAGCCCCGTCTCCTGGGTGTCAGGCTGGCAGAGAGGGATGCTGGCAGGGAGAGTGAACTGGGTCTGACCGGGTTTCTCTCCCACTCGCCCCCGTCAGCATTTAAAGGCTAGGAAGTCCTGATTAAGAGGCTGTGCCCCTCTCTCACGCCTTGCTAGGAGCTGCTCTACCTGTTATGGCTAGCCAGTTGGACCCGGGCCCCAGAGGTGGCTGCATTTCAGAGGCCTCTGAAATGATAAATGATCCTGTCCAGGAAAGCGCTTGGGGGTGAAAGGCAAATGCCCTGAGGGGCTAATGGAGGGGGAAGCAGGGGGCCATCTCCTCCCTGGGAAGGGGAAGATTTTGGCTGCTCTTTCCCCTTTTTACTCTGTTTCACCTCCTGGCAGGAAGCCTGCAATAAAGGAGCCTGCAGCAGGGAGGGGTGGGGGGCTGTTCGACAGACGTGGTGGGGAGCTGGCCGGGAGCCCGGGGCTCCGATTTCAATTCCAGCCCTGCCACTGACTCCCTGCTGGGAGACCGGGCAACTCACTTCCTCTCTCCCCACCTCTGTGAGACCCCTGCTCCGTCTCAACCTTGCCTGCGTGCTCTTCGGGGCAGAGGCAGGGGTCCCCGAAGAAGCAGACAGCCCCTGTGCTGGGGGGCTCTGGGCTCCGTGAGCATCCGGGCTGCAACATAAGCAGGATCCTGTAGCTCCATGCCACGGTGCAGGGGCTTTTCATAGATTTCATAGACGTTAGGGCTGGATGGGACCTCGGAAGATCATAAGAGACTTTCCCCTTTTTCGTGTGGGTCACAGGATGGGTTAAGCACCCCTCAGCTGGCAGGATAGGTGGGCATCAGCAAGAAGCGGGGGATCCTCAGTGTCCCTG